TCAATAAAAGCAGAGGTGGGTGCAAATGAACAATTTTCATCTTCTAGACCAAGGTTTTTACAGAGAACATCTTGAAAAATATGAAGAACAAAATACAGATTTCCATTTATTAATGACACTTTTGCATTCAACTTCTTTGTAGGATTTCGAACCACAAACACGACCTACATTTACGCAAACCAAATAAGAAAACAATACTAAACCCTGAAAAATTTGAAACTTTGAGCCTGTCTTATAATGCAGACATGCACAATCTTTGTTTTGTATCTACAATCATTTAAATTTTTACTTTAATTTAGCAGATAAACTTTAAAAAAGACCAAGTTTGTTTTCAAATTATTTTACAGCCCCAAAGTTCTTTTAACATAGTTTTAACCCTCATGTCAAAAAGTTCCCGGGATAACGGTGAGCACAGCGTTCATTTGATTCACCATGTTTTTCGGCTGTGAGATGGGCACGCATGGAGTCACAGATTAACAGCGATGGTGATGCGTGGAAAAAAACACCTGTTCTCCTCACATTCACCTCCCTCAGCCACTCTTTCATCATCTCCTCATCCATCCAGCCCTTTTCATTTGCCTTATCATATGTCATCAGAGCGCTGTGTCTGTCTCTCTGTCAGCTCCCAGATCAGCTTCTCTGATTGGTTGATGCGGCGCGTCCAGCAGCAAAACTTCAATTTTTCCATCTCGAGCAGCAGCAGCGCGTCAAGCGCGTCAGATGCTTAAACGCTCCCGACGCGCTGCGCCTGCTGCTCAAAATGCGCTGCGGGACCTTTGGCTGCGCTTATACGCACGTCAACCATTGACTTTGCATGTAAACTCGCTGCTTCTGCTGCGTCCGGTTCACACCGATGTCGAGCGGTTGAATAACAGCGAGCACAGCATTCATTTGTTTCACCATGTTTTTCACATCGGCTGTGAGATGGGCACGCATGGAGTCACAGATTAACAGCGATGTTGATGATGTACATTCACCTCCCTCAGCCACTCTTTCATCATCTTCTCAATGAGGGGTCTCAAAAGTCGCAGTTACAACACACATAGGGCGCCCCGCACCAAAGGGCGCACCGCACATTTTGAGGGGGGAAAAAAGACGTTTATGTGCGCCTTATAGTCGTGAAAATACGGTAAATTCTGACACTATCCATTCACAAAAATATAAAACATCCTTCGGGGCCCCTGCTAAAATCCGGCCCAGCCGATATGTATTTTGGGGTTCTAGTCATAGCCAACAACCTTTGTCTTTGTAGAGTATACTGTTTGGGTTGAGTTTGAGGTAACTGGGTTACTTTTATGGTCTATCTTCTTGTCCTAAGTTCTAGCCACTAAGCTGGTCTTTCTGGCTGAGTGGGTTTGGTCTTGCACAGGACCGTCTTTGGTCACCAATCCTGCTAAGGCAGTCTCACTCCCAAGTTGTCAAATACTGTGGTTTGGTCAAGCCCTTTGAACGGGTTCTTGACAAGGCTACTATTCTTTTCATTTAATGGCACACATGTTGCATTAGAGGTTGTGGTAGGAACTCATGAAAATTTTATGTAAACTACCAACTGAAAAACTAATACTAACCCATCCTTCACCCTAACCTTGACCCTTAAACCTGCACAAATACTGGTATTGGTTCTGCCCAGATAGCGAAACCAAAACAATCTATGCTGCGGCCGGACCTTGGGGAGATGCACCACTAACACTTTATCTGGACAACATGGGAAGTGTACATTTAACGAAAATTGCTTATTCAGCCAAGTGTTTTCGGTGTAGCTAAAACCAGTATCAGGGAATGTATATGAGACACGAGGGATGTTGTGCAAGAAGTCATTCAAGCTCTGAACAATTGGAATAAAGACGGTGGAGTCACACATGTTAAGAGCGAAAAACAAAGCGTCAAAATCAAGTTACCAGGAAGAAGCAGGTGTTTCTCTATTCTGTTCCACCCTTGTCTCTGCAATGCCTCCACAGTCATCTCTAAAATCTACAACAGCGCCCTCTGGGTAATGTTTTGCGGTATGCCAACAATAAAAGCAGAGCTTTTCTGGACTTTGAGTAGGGAACAACACAGAATTCCTGAATTCAGTTCAGTAGTTGTTAAAAATCTATCTGTTATTTATGTGTTTTTAGCTTTCTTCCAATATGAAACATTTTTCAATGTTTGAAACTTTTCTACTGGGCAAGGAAGTAATGGTTTTGTTAAAATAACCATTACTTAAATTAAAATAAATTTGTCACAACCAGATTTTTCTTTTGTTTTTTGTGAAGATAGTCTCAACTTTTCATTTGAAGAGGCATTAAAAAGTCTTGAAAAGGCTTTATTTAACTTGGCTTATGCTGTGGGAACCCTGATACAGATTGTTGCAGGTTTCCACATACACTCCCAAAGCTACCCAGAGAAAGTTTCTGGGTGAAATTGTTTGTCAGAGGTCTGGTCTGTGGTACATGACACAGTGTCCACAGACTGTCATGCAGCCTGTATATCAGTAAATGACAAAAGGGGAACCTCCAACTCGTCATTATGGGTGGCCTAGTGGTTAAGGCATCGGCATTGCACTGGTTCTGAGTTCAAGCCCCACTCCCACAGATGGCAGCCCACTGCTCCTCAAGGGGATGGGTTAAATGCAGAGTTAATTTCGATGCTCTGTACTTGTGACAGTGTAATGATAATAAAAAGCCAAGGGGAAAAAAGTGTCAATATTTCTTAAGTTAGGGTTGATACTATGTTGGTCCTGCATAAGATCTTTCTGGACAGTCCATAGTGTTGACATGGACAGAAGGCTGTTTAACCCCTAGAACCCTACGGACCCACCGGTGGGTCCAGCTGCTACGTGACCTCGTAATTTTAACAAACCCCCAGTATTGATGTAAAAAACACATTTGGCACAGTTTGGTGACATTTTTGGATAAATGTGCCAGAATGGCCTCTCCGCCTAAGAAATTTCTCACTAATACCATTCTAAAATAAATATGATTCATCTGATTGAGTCCAAATTTGGTATATTTTTACATAACATTTAGATTTAAAAGTCTGTACTACTTTTTTGTGCTATAAATAATATTTTGGTAGTGTTTTGCAATGTCTATTTCAAAGAAAATTTTGGCTCAAAAAATGTAAAATATTTTGTATTTTGTCCCTAATATTTCAGGCAGGGTCAAAGCTACAATGGTGCTGACACCAGAAAACCATTCTATGACATCTTACCTTTACAGACGTACCAAAAGTTTCTTCTTAAATCTAATAGCTGTGAGGCTATAAGTTATTTACTGTTGTGAGTTTTTGTCAGGCAGAAATTTATTTATACCCCCTGAGGGTGTAAGAGGTTAAATCGGAACCTCTGGGTTTTCACTAAATATCTATCTAATTTATCATTAGGCAATACTAGGCAGTTGCCTAGGGCCCCAAGTTCCTGAGGGCCCCATAAAACTCTGTTTACATGTATGGTTAATACAACTATTCCTTATTTGTGCACATTAATTATTTTTTTTGATAAAAACCCTTTCACTAAAATACCATCAGAACGCTTATAATGTTAAATGTGTCTCAGCCCACCCCTTCAGTGTCCACCATATTGGATCAGTCCATTTGTTGCACATGTTCAGAAAGGTGGAAACAGACAGCAGCAAACCATTTGAAAACAAAAAATGCAAAGAGCAGCGTTGCCTACTTAGTGCTTTTGTCGCTATATTTAGCAACTTTTCAGACCCCTCTAGCACCTTTATTTCAAAACAGGACTGAGTGCCTTTGACTTTGGCGACAACATCTAAAAGCAGCGAACTCTGCTCTCCAGAGCGAGTAGATTGGTAACCCCGCCTCCTGCTCTCCTCTATCTTGTCTGCTGTCATGATTCATGCAGCTATTATTTCATCCAAATGAAAAATGGAGAACAGATAAGCAGATCATGGCTTGTCTACAGTGAAAAGAAGGACTGGGTTATTTACTTTGGCCTTTTTGGAAACACAGGAAGGAGCAATCAGCTAAGTGAGCTTAGTGCTTGGAAAAAATCTTTCATTCCTTTAGAGACAGCATGAAAAGTCAGCTGAGTACAAAACATAGAGAGGAAAACAAGAAGAAAAGAGACAAGAAGAGAGGGACACAACCTAGAACATATAATGGATGTCTATTCTATTAACATTTCTATATCTGTAGAATGGGGCTGTTTTCTGTGTTGTCTTCTAAATACAGAGGGCCCCCTGCCTGTCTTTGCCTAGGGCCCAACATTTCCTAAAACTGCCCCTGTAGGCAGGCATGTCTTGGAGCTCTATTGGCCAGGGATGATAGTCAGCTTCTATCAACACATATTCAAGGATTTCATCAAGAGAAAATTGGATTGCTTTTTCCTGGTCACGATGTACTATCTGCCTCCACTCAGACTTCAAGTATCTTTAATCCATGGTCAAAGTGATGTTATGGAAGAGGAAATCAACATTTTTCAATAAACCATAGTTCTTCACTGGGTTCAAAAGGTCTATTCAAGCTGAAACTCATACTTGAATTTTTGTTTCAATTGATTTGGGTATAAAATCACAAAGATTCCGACTTCCAATTGCAAATAGTGAGCCCCATGATACTGAAACCTGAAATAAAGTCCAGTACATGTCTTCAAAGTTAGTATTTCTCCACTTTGATTCTTTTTTATTAAAATCAAACTCTATTGCTATAGATCAGGCATCCCCAAATTCGGTCCTCGAGTGCCGCTGTCCTGCAGGTTTCAGAGGTTTCCCTGCTTCAGCACAGCTGATTTACATTGATAGTTGATTAACAGGCTTTTGATCAACCATCATCAGCTGTGCTAAAGCAGAGAACCTCTAATACCTGCAGGACTTTGGGCATGCCTGCTATAGATGAACCTTTAGTCATTGGTTGTGGTGTAATGGAAAAAAAAGAGGAGCAAAAAAGATTTAACCCGATAGAGGGAAGCAGAGAAAAGCTTGTTGATCACTAAGGGAGAGCGAAGAGAGCAAGAGAGGAAACTGCTGGTGAGAAAGCAGCAGCAGGCTCACACACAAACACACACACTCATGCCGAGCATTAACCACGCTCATGAGAATCTGAGAGAAAGAGAGGGAAGTGAAGGAGGGAGGGAAAAAAAGCAGGTTTAATTAATTCAGTGGAGATGGGAGGGATGGAGCTGCTGTCCCTGCTGAGGATCCAGCGGTTGTGCTGCCGTGTTACTGCATGCAGCTGAGCGTTCACACAGAGGACGTCTCCGTGGCTCCTCACTGGGAACCAGACGCCCGTCCTAAGCAGCCACATCACTGTGACTCACTGGCGGTTTGTGTAAGCAGCCGATGGTCTGGGCTAGATCAGCACTGCCCACAGGTAAGAAAACACTTCCCTATGATGACTCCTTCTCCCATTTCACTTCCATTCTCTATGCTCTGTGTCGAAGAGCAAGATGTTGTGCTTTCTCTTTAGGTCTGCGTGTCTCCTGCTGTTTCAGTGTTCTCTGTTATTTTAACTGCTTTGAAGTAATTTTTTCATTCAGTCTCATTTATGCTACTTGGATTGGTATTTCTGCTGCTCTACTGAAGTAATGGAGCTAATGCTGAGCTTCACAGCATTTCAGCAACATATGGGATCAATACTGTAGTCTGATCAGCTGGTGAGAGCAGCTGACTTTCAGTCCAAGGGTCAGGCTATATTCTACCAGATAAAACATTTTAGAAGATATCCTCATCATCCAAACTTCCCTCAGTGACAGTAGATCCATTTTTGAGAGAAGATTCAAACTAGTTATTGCTCATGCAACCTACATGATCAGTTCTGTAGTGATATTTTCGGCTAACAGGAAGGCTTTATATCTTGCATGCATCAGATTATTCTAATGCCCGTTTCTGAGCTGATGCTACACATCCTTACAGCCGTTCATTCCAGGCCGCCTAATTTAGACGGCAGACTAATCCTCCGTCACACAACTAATTACATCTCATAAAGCAATCACTAGATCGCCACGGTTACTGTTTTCCTGGACAGTGTCCACTCACAGGATCATGACTACGCAGTGCTCATCGTCTCACCCTTCTGAGTGGGAACACGACCTGTGATCTGAAGAGGGCAGAGCTGAACGAATCGAGTGAACAGGAGAGAGGATGTGAGTCGAGCATTCTACGAGGATTATTTAGCTGCCTCTGAAAATGCTGCTCACTTTCTTGGTACCAGGAAAGCATGCGTGTACCCGTCTCTGCTGCGTCAAACTATGTTCTTGCACCTGCTGTTGGTCTTGTTGGTGAGAGAACCACGGCTGCTGGTTCAGCAAAGGTCTGCAAAGATGCTGGCGGAGCCCTTCTGATGGCGAAACATCATTCAGATTGAGGATTAAGGGGGAAGAAATCTTTCTGTATGGGTGAACAGTGAACACACTCTTACTGTCCCCTTCTCATTTCTGTGGTGACCTGGGCAGAGGATGAACCTGGTTATACGACACCTTCTCTTCTTTAACTCCATATTAGCAATAAAGGCACAAGCTGCAATAGAAAAGACATTCGAATGTTTGCTAACTTTCAAGTCAGCAGCTTTAAACGCTGCAGATTTAAACTTTTCTGTTGTTGATCGTCCATAATACAGCCAAATATTCGGATATTCAAAAACCCTTTTAATCATAGTTAGTACGTTGATAAAGCCATTTGTGCATCAATAATTATGTTTTTAAGTTTTAAAACATAGGAAAAACTACCAAAACTACTAGATCAAAAGTGTTTTATTGTAGTTGGAGATTAGGCAGTTTATTTTCCAAGGACATACTTGGTAAAAAGTCTTAATTTGAGCATTGTGCAGTAACTGTATGTTGGAAATCTCTTCAAACAAGTTAATGATTCTGAGCTCAGAAGACTGACCTAGCAGGTCCAGAACCATCACTAGCCAATTAAAGGTCACCTTTGACTTAGTTCATGATCTTTTAGGTCAAAACACAATTTCACAATTGTAGTTTCTCATTAAAAGAACACTGTGTAACCTTTAGGGGTGCTAGACTTCGCAGTAATTTCCAGCTTTGAAACCCCTGAAAGCAACTGGCAACAATACACTGTCGCAAAGTCAAACAATGTGTCATAATACGGGACAGATGGACCCAGTATTCAGGCGAGTCAGACAGTGGTAAGTTTCAAAACGTTTAATCACAAAAAACAAATAAAACAGAGACAGAACAGAAACGGAACACGGGCTGCGGCGGATCTGTGGACCTGCAGCGACTACAGGGGAAAGGAGGAAAGTCGCTCATCACTGGCACTCTGGATGTGGGAGAAACACAGGTAAGTGACCACAATAATCTGTGTGGGTCACTTACCCGGTTTAACAGTTCAGTCCATCCTCTCATCAAAGGTTTGTGGCGCTGAGCCGTTCAGAGTGTCCCCAATGCAGCAACCACAGTGAGCAGGCAGGTCACCGATCCACCTAAACAGTTCAGAACTGGATCCATTCTGAGATCCAGGAGTCCAAAGCCCGGTCAGGGGTTCCGATCCAAACACGAACAGACAGATCCAGGGTTCCAGGAATCCTCAGAGTGTACAGGCAGGTTCAGCTTTCCAATGAGTCCAGCAGCAAGCTCAGACAGACACACTCAGATAGAGACAGATGGGCGCAGTGGTTGAGAGGAATAGAGACAAGACATGGTAACAGGAGCATTGCAGAACTTTAAACTGGCTTCATCCAGGAGCCAGGATCACAGGAATTAAAACTTGCCTCCCCCACAAGCTGAGCCAAAACCCTGAGGTCTCAGAGGAGAAAAGCCAGGACGATCAGAAGACACAAACATCCTCTCTACACACTGGCCCCCGGGAGTCAGGACATGAACAAGGGAATAAACAAAAACTCAAAAAAAAAAACAAACATGAATAACTAACACAAAAAATGCTCTGGCCCCAATAGCTAGGCTAAACCGTGTATAAAGCAGCACAAACAGGTGGATGAGATGAGTAATAATTAGAATGCAGGGAGGGAATGGCAGGTGAATGAAGTGAGTAATTAGATCAGCTACCTGGGCTGCGGTCATGTCACAATGTACCTGTTTGCTCTGTAGTGTAACAGACTGAGAAGTCAAGGAGTTACTCAAGGCCACATTCACACTTCTAGAATGAATCCTACATCACAGAACAAAAAATAGGTCTGATCGGGTAAGCAGCATCGTCCCCTTTAAAGCCTTTGAAGGGGAACTCAGAAAACCATAAAACAACCCTCTGGGTCACCTGACTCTTTCTGCAACAAATCCAACCCTCTCAACTTACAGAAGTGAGGTTTTTGAGAAGGGCAGCCCATATGGAGCATCTATTCACACAAAGAACAGTTTATTGACCAGACGAATCACATATTAATCTGAAATTAAGCTCATACTTGGATCAAAAGTCACACATTTCTGCTTTAAAGAAGTAACATCTGGTTTTTGATCATGTGACCTGTGCAATGTAATTAAAAATGCTTCAAGTATAGTTTTACAAAATACATAGATTTCAATACAACCAAAAACAAACACTTTTCCTACCACATAAAGTTTCTTTTTTAAAGGATGCTGTTAAAAGCCCAGAAAGTCCCTGATTTTTGATCCAGATTAATTTAATGCTCAGGTTATGAGTAAAGATAGTCACCCATGCATATTACCTTGTGAGAAAGTTTCTGATTTTCTGTAAACTCTTGATCCCAGTTGACATTGTAATGAACCTAAGAGAACTACAAACATTACAAAAGCTAATAAGCTTCAACTTTGACTCAGATATGTCGGTAGAAAGTCAGATGTCAATGTAAACAAACTGCAGACACAATCAATCATCATTCAAAGCAAAGTTTAGTCATCACATGAAAAGATGTTTAAATCTTTGTTGCAAATTATATTGTATTTTTTTACGCAAAATGCAATGAAAACCGCCCTCCAAAAGTACCTGCAGCTTCCGTCTATTATAAAAGGATTAAATGTAATACACCACCAGTAACTGGTGCATAATAGTAACAGGGAAGGAAAATATGATGGATGCTTTTAAAAATCCTTTTACAAATAAAGGTATACTGGCATAATTATGTGTTCAATCCCCCCAGAGTCAATACCTTGTAAGAACACATGAGCTGTATGGTAAATGCAAGACTATGGCTTCACAGCGAGATGGAATGGAAACACATATTTAAAAAACATGTAAAGATATTATAGGTCAATAGGGCAACATTTTGAAAAAAAGTTGAATACGGTAATTTTTTGCAAAACAATGAGCTCTTCAGCCATGTATTTAATCTACATGAAACCAAAAACATATATTTCAAACATATTTTTGGCATGTATAGAATGTTGAATGCATAATGAACATGAATGAGTTATAAAAAATGTATAGATTTATCAACAACATATCTATAAACTATTCATTAGCTGTCTCTAAAAGGAGTCCTATTGTAAGGTGGTACTGAACTGAATTGAAACTTAAAACCTTCTCAGTTATCCCACTAAGGCTGCTAGGGATCTATCGCAAGTTATAGATCAAATATAATCTAATCTGTGGCATAACTTTGATTTGTTTAGACAGATGCTGAGAGGGTTGGGACATGCTTAAGTCTTATGAACGTTCCATTTTAAACCAGCTTGTCCAGCAGATAACTTCTGTTTCAGTCCGAAGAGGCCAGATGAAATTTAAATTCACAGTAAAACATCCATGAGAATCAGTGACATATGGGATGCGGTGGAGCTCTGAATGACCAAAGATATATTTTTTTTTAGCCCTATTTTTTGATAAAAAGAAACATTTTAGACAAGCGTGTTTTTGGCAGGCTGCTCAGTGGAGCAGTAGGTAGCGCTGCTGCCTTGCAGCAAGAAGGTCCCAGGTCTGATTCCCATCCCAGGGTCTTTCAGCATGGAGTTTGCATGTTCTCTCTGAGCATGCGTGGGTTCTCTCCGGGTACTCCGGCTTCCTCCCACAGTCCAAAACATGACTGTTAGGTTAACTGGCTTCTCTAAATTATACTTAGATGTGAGTGTGAATGGTTGTTTGTCCTGTTTGTCTCTGTGTTGCCCCGCAATGGACTGGTGACCTGTCAAGCGTGACCCCCGCCTCTCACCTGTAGACAGCTGGAGATAAATACCAGCACCCCTCGCGGCCCCGCTTGGGATAATCGTGATAGAAAATGGATGGAAGGATGAATTCTCTGCATGAATTCTCTGTATACCAGGAGATTATTCTGCATGTGCTTCCATCGGGGAAGGTTTGTTATAAACTTAACTTTATACTAAAGATGACTAAAAGAGTATTTTTATGTTGAGGATTTCATTATAAAGCACAATTTTTGGTTGGTGACTATTTCCCACTGAGCAAAAATTGGCTGAAAAGACATTAAAATGACATGGTTGAAAA